TTCAGATTGATTTTTGAGTTTTTGAATAGTTTTTTAGTGTTTTATGAGACCATAAATAAATTTATCAAATTACATAATATATTTTTTATATTTTTTTAAAATTCTATCTTAATTTTTCATCCATCACTATAATTAAAAAAACTAAATAATATCACACGACATGTTGTGTCTTATATTTTTTCAAAATATTTTGGGATGGATACCATGCCTCGTGTAAAATATATAAAAACAATGAAGAATTTAAGAACACGAGTCTACCTTAGTAGGCCTCTCATGGACCCTTACTTAATGGCCCAGGTATGCTATCCTAGCATTTTAAAAAGAATTTTTTTTTTAATTAATGTCTTTTATATATATTTTTAAAAAAATAATTTTAAAATTTATGTTTAAATTAAAACCCTTTTTCTCTTTTATTTTTTTATTCAGTTTTTTTAAATAGAGATTATTTTTTAGTTATTTTATATGCATTTATTTTTTAAAAAGGTTATTCTAATTTATCTATATTTTTTTACATTTTATATAAATAAAAGTTATTTTAAAACATAAAAAAAATTAATTTTGAATAATATTTTTAATATGTGTAACTTTATATGATACTTTTATTTTTTTATTTCATTTAATCAATTTTATGAATATTTATTTTTATTATTATTTGATTAAATAAAAAAATTATGAAAACAATCATGAGATCACATATCCCAGTCTATATTTGCCTCTCAATTTTTTATTTTTATTAATTATTAATGATTTTTTATTTATTTATTGATATACATAGTTTTTAATTTATTTGGTTATATATATTAATGATTTTTTTTATTTTTTTATTGATATACATAGTTTTTAATTTATTTGGTTATATATATACATGAATTTTTCTATTCTTACTTGAGATTTTTTTAATAAAAAGAAAAACATCTTATAAAAGTCTACATATTTATGTTTTGTTTTTAAAATTCAATCCCTAATGAAACACCGGTAAAATAGCGGTAAAATAGCTAGTAAAATTGAAAGGGAGTAGCCATAGCCTAATAAATTATCATGTTAGATTGACAGGCAGAGTGTAATATTATTCATCTATATATGTGGTTAATAAAATAGAGAGAGTATGAGAATAAATCCATAAGAATTAAGATCTAAGAATAATATAATTACTCGAGAAAAAAAAAAGAATAATAATATTACAAAGAAGATAAAAGAATGAGAACTTTCACTTTCAAGTGCGAACATTAGAAATTGCAATTAACACGATTTATTGCAATCCAAATAAAATAAAATAAAACCTTGAGGTCTCCATCAACACTAATCATGCCATTTTACGAGATGGCCTGCCGTGGACCCATGGTGGGGGTACATGATTTAACGGGGCACAGTATGCATGATTTTTAACTTGTTTAGAAATGTTGTGTTTGAATTAATTTTTTAAAGTATTTTTTTATTCAAAAATAAATTTAAATAATATACTTTTTATTTTTTAAGATTTAATCAAAACTATACAAAATTATAAAAAAATTCAAAATTATTTTTTAAATGCCAAAACAAACACATTCAAAATCTAAGTTGCCACTCAAAATTTACCTAGATAGTTTATTAATTAAGATTTTAACTTAGCAAGATTCATTCAACTTGATCATATTATTAAAGAATCGAGTGCTCCCATAAAACTTGATTTGCATCCATGGAAGTCCAGGTAAGCATATATATATATATATATATATATTGAAATATGATTCACAAATCCAAATTATAAATTAAATTTAAAATCTTAAATACACATACGATAATAACTATAATTTTTTTTATGGCCAAATAAATATTCCGAGATAATAACTATAATTTTTTTTTATGGCCATATAAATATTCCGGGTTTCTGAATATGTAAAGTACAATATATATATATATATATATATATAGTACTTTACATTTAAGATTTTAAATTTAATTTATAATTTGAATTTGTGAATTATATTTTAATGTATATAGTACTTTACATATTCAAAAACCTGGAATATTTATTTGGGCATAAAACAATTATAGTTGATATTGTGTATTTAAGACTTTAAATTTAATTTATAATTTGGATTTGTGAATTATATTTCAACCATGCTATTTGTTTTTCTTTTCAAAAAATTAACTAAAAAATATGTTAAAATTAAGGTTAAAGGTTATATTAAAATTGAGACATGTTTAAATATTGCTTGATAAATTATTTTTATTTTAACATGTTATTGATTCACCGAGTTAATCTCAAGTGTTAATGAAATTATTTAAAAACTTAGATTATTTTTTAAATCATTTCTTTTAATTTCGAACATCAATTGGTATACTCACCTTTACGTAGGTGACTCTATGCTTGAACAAGCCTTTGAATTTTCAAAATACAAATGAAAATTTCGGAAGGGGCAAATAGAAACTGCCATTATGCAAATATAGAATGCTTCACCTCAAGCCCATGCTTTAACATTCATGGCACCATTTTATTTTTGTGTTCTTATTTGTATTTAGAAGCATAATTTTAAAATTCGATGCGGTAAGTCAACTTAAGATTGAAAGATTGAAGAAAAAATAAAACAAAAAATTTGATGTAATCCGGTTATCTAGTTAACCTAGTAAAATTGATCAATAACCCAGTTGTATCTCGTTAATTTTTTTTTAATATAAAACGATATCATTTTAATTTTTTTAAAAAAATTAACCTAAATGACCTGGTCAAAATCTGGAATTTGAACCTTGAACTTGGCCGGATCTTAAAATTATGTTTAGAAATATTTCAATATATATCTGGCTTGAAAAAATATTAAATTGATATTTTTATAATATTTTTTTATGATTTTAGTACTAATATAAAAAAAATATTTTATATCAAATACACAATTAAGAATCTACACTATTGCAGTAAAATCATGTTATATTGTAAATTCTTGAGAACCACTTGTCTAATAAATCATAATTTGAAAATCTCTTAATACTATTTTTAGCCTTTGGAAATTAATAAATATGTCACTTCGATTCATTTAGTTTAAAAGTTTTCAACGTCAACTCTTATGTTTCTAGTAGGTCAACTTTTGTTAAATATCAAATGAGATCATCAATAATGTATATTATTAAACTTTTTTATTATGTATTTAAGGTATTTATTATTATATTCATCATCATTATTATTAATGTAATGTTTAGTTACTGTACTAAGACATAGAAGTCACAATGATAGCAAGGATAAAGAAATATTTAATTAAAAAGATAAAAATAAATGTATTTTTATGACAGTTTTAAAATAATTTTTTATGCTTCTAAAATACAAAAAAATATACGTTTTCTCTGACCCCAATTTCTTTACCTGAAAGTAATATATGAACACACCATGTGTTTAATTAGGACAAAAAAACACTTGAAAATAAAAATGATTTTTTTTAATTTCCTTTACATCTTAGAAAATATATTTTTTAAAAAAAACCTCAAATTGATATCAAACATCTCATGTCAATGTAAGATCATTAATTATTGTTATTATTTAAACCATCTGCCTCATTATGCTAAATATTGAACAAGCTCAATTTAAAAAAAAAAAAACATAAAAATAATGTCCACCTCATATAAGACTTAAAAACTCTTAATCTAAATTTTTGTTATCAAACATGATATAATAAAATAAGATTTAAAAACTCTTAATCTAAATTTTTACTAAGTATAAGTTTTAAATCAAATAATATAAGAGTTATTTTGATATAATTCAGTCAATTAGATGAGTTCTAAAAAAATTTAAATAATCAGTAAAAAATATGACTTGCTTAAAAATTTAAAATAATTTTTTAATATTAAAATAATAAAATATTAAATTAACATATGCTTCATAATTTAAATAATCAAATTCACAATATGAGTTACCTCGTATAAAAACTTTGTTTTCTTCGATACAATAAAAAAACAAAAATACTTGTTAAATCAAATACAAATTAAATATAATGATATTGGCTTGAGATTTCAATAATATTATAAAAAGTAATCAACTTAATTTATGAAGATAAATTTAAAATTAAGATAAATTTAAAATTAAGTAAATATTAAAAGATAAAATTAAAAATAATTTTAAAAAAATGAAAAATGAGAGGAAAAAAATTCACCCCCTTCACTGTTTAGATGTATGAACTAACGGAGAGCCTCAGCTGGAAGATGTATCAACAATGGAGGATTCGCCACTGTTTCTCTTCACTTGCTTTCATTCCAAGACACTGCCTTCCTTTCTCCATTATGCTAAAATGGGTTCTGTATCTGAGTTTCTTTTTGGATGAACGTACGGAAAGGCCATTTTCAGTGAATTTGTTAAGCTAACTCGGCATGGTGAATCTTCTTTCAAATGATTTGTAAAGGCTTTGAGTAGGCTGAGTGCTTGAAATTCAAGTTTAACTTTTATTATTATTTTTCCTTTTCTTCCATGTAACGATTAAAAATCTAAGAAAAAAAATATTTTTTTATTAAAAAACACGGCATCATAAAAAAAATTAAATATACTTTTAATCAATAATAAACTCCAAACATTAACACAATTCTTCATGCATACTTGAAAAATTAAAGTAAATAATTCATTAATATAATATTAAAACCATGATAATTAAATTGTTATAAATTTCAATTTTTTTCATTGCATTTTATAATATAATATAAAAAATATTTTAAAATTTCACTTCATATATTAAAATTTTAAGAGTTTTAGATAATTATTTAACAAAATGATATTCATTAATTTCATCCATATAATTCTTTGATGATCAATGAAGAGAAAGATGTAGCAGAGCACGAAGGAATTCTAGGATATATTTAGAATTGTGATAATGGTTATGATTTAAAATATTTTTTATTAGAAATATATTAAAATATTTTTTTATTATTTTATAAAAATTATTTTTAAGATTAGCATATTAAAACAATTTAAAAAAATAAAAAAATAATTTTTTTAAAAATTTAAAATAATATGATTTCAATCATGTTCACGGACAAAATTAAGAGAATAGCTACACATAGCAGCCCTTCAATGCAAAGTGAAAGCAACGAAAGAGAGTGTTTCTCGGTGTCCAGCTTGCTGTGATAACAGAGGGGTTGGAGTGCTGTGTCCAGTAAAAAGAAGCGATGTCTTTGAAAAATGTCAACAAGTTCCCAAACTTGGCAGACTCAGAGCATCTCCGATGAGAAATGCTAAATGGTTAATATACAACGAATTTACAATGTGGTTTTAAAAGAATTAACGTAAAGTTTGAAAACAGGGGATGAAAAGGAGGCAATCCTTGACCATAAAAACTTTGAATAACATAAACAAGAATTTTCTTTTGCTTCATCTTCTCCCTTCAGCTCACTGCACACGATTTTCAGCTTAGCTCAAAACCACCCATTGCAGCCAACAAACTTTCCCTCCTCCACTAAACCCACACGATTTCAGTCTCAACCCAGCTGGGACTCCACAACTGGAAGCAAGGTTCTTTGAGATTAACACACGCACGACTGGAAGCTAATTAATCACCCGGGTAGGACTGGGACAATCAAAGGCAGCTGTTCTTCTTCAAGGGAAGGTGCTTTGAGATTTCATGTTGCTCTATTTTCTTGCATCAGTTTTTTTAAGAGGAAGAGGCAAGTGCAGATAGCCGCTGTCTAACTGTTGTATGTACCTTCAGCAACATTTTAGCTTTTTGATAGAATGTGTAGAAATAGCATAGCATTTCATCAAATGAAATGCTATTCTACCTGTTGATATAGCAATAGCGTTGGAGTTCGAGCATCTTTAATGGAAGATACTATTTCAAAGAGATAAATTAATAAAATATCATTTTAAATAATATAAATATAGTTTTTTGAATTATATATACTCTAATGGAAAAAATTATTTAAAAAGCCAATTTTATTAAAGTGAAATAAATAAATTTTTTATTTCTTTTAATGATTTTGATGTTTTTTTTTTACATAGCTATAATTAATTGTTTTTTTTGTTGGTTTTATTTTATTAGTTTTAATTCTTTCGAGGGATACGTAGAAATAATATTTAAAAATAAAAGACGTTTTATTTAACTTTTCTCTTGAAATATGCAAAACAAATAAAACAAAAACCAGAATATTACTTTTCGTTGAAGATACCTTACATGAGAGGAAAAAAAGCTAAAATAACCGTTATTCACTTTTAGCAACTGAGTTGGAGATGCTCTCATGGCTTGGAAGGATGACAAAGGAAACACACCCTTCAATCTGCTCGCTTCATTAGCGTCGAAGCATGCACGGGGGAGGTTCCCTGTATAGAATTAGTAACAAATAACCAGTGTGCATAACATGATCAAAAAGCAAATGTTCTGAGAACATATTCAGGATTTATTATAAGCAGCAAATTGTTCATTGTAAAACACCCTAGTCGTGCAAGCAAGAACAAAGGCCTGGCAGAAGATTAATGATAATTAGCTAAAATATTAGATTATTAACAATATTTTAGCCAAAAATTTCCTCTGCAGAAACGGATCTTAGAATCATTCGAAAATGTGGGCAGTGAACCGCTTGTGGCGCATTGTAGTGGTAGAGCAGAAAAAGGCAAGATCAAAGGACAATAATACAGGAATATTTCAATAAAGTGAGAATTGGAGCAAGAATTAAGAATAGATTGAAAATAGCAATAAAACAAATATGAAACTTGCCATCTTATTCAAAATAAATTCTCTTAAATTGGCATTATCAATACAAGGAAACAGGGATCGCAATCAGATGATAAGATTCTCCCTGAAGAAAAAAGCTAATAACATAGGCAACATCCTAGTATCTGCTAAATGATTCCCAACAAAATAGCATATTTGATGATCTCCTAGAAAATAGTTCAGCTATAACCAACTTAATGATCTCACGAAGATTGCAGCATCTCTCTCATTCCTAACAATAGCAGAGGTCACATTTGCAGCAGCATTTCCCTCCCCTAGCCCGGCGGTTACAGGAACAAACAAAACCCAGATCAAGGCACTGCAATTCTGACTAATAAATGATATGTAAATTTCAAACGTCTGGCATCGCCACATGCCAAAAGACATTTAGAATTGCAGTGCCCTGATTAGGGCCTCCTTCGTTCACGAGAGACTCCCAGCTTGCCATCATCTTACATTCCTACTAAGAAAGTTTGAAACCGCAATCCTCGTTATCATGTCTGCAATCTGTAATGAGGCTCGTTTTTATATTATTCCAAACAAAAATTTATAATAAATCCATTAATAATCATTCAATTGTAGAACAAACTGTTCTTTGTACCAATAAATGCAGAGCAATAACCTTTAAGAAAAACAAAGGAAACGGATGTTGTGCTGTTATTTAACTCCAATCTCGTGGGTTATGTGGGAGAAGAAGCTGATGACAACACACACTGTCTGAGTTTTTCAGACTCTAAACCCATTTACAGAGGGTTCAAGAGTATAGTTAAAACTCAATTTGAATAGCAGATTCAAAAACTAGGAAATTAAATGGTGAATGAACAGAAAACACTTAATTTTTCAAAATTAATTTGCCTCAGTTAAATCCATTAATATCATTATAATGTAGCTTATACCAAGTAGGTTCTCCCTGAAAACAGGGTCTCGGCTCCACTACACCTAAAATAAATTGGATTGCATCATCACTGGCAATTTCACAATACATTGATGCTCATAAACTAATTTAAATCATATACACTAGTTAGTATTTTTAGATCTATAATCATTTACAATTTCAAAACCCGAAAGTTGCATGATCTATAAATTATATGGCTCAGAGATATAACAGCTCTATCAATCAAGAATTATCAGTAGCAGAACTGGCATTAAAGCTGTGAATTAATCATCACTGCCATATTTTCAAAAAAATCAAAAAATGACACAATAAACAAAATAAAACATCTCTACAGAGAAAAGGGCTGGCTCATATCAAGAAATTCAACCATTATTTATTTTTTTGCTTCATTAATTTCTCTCAGAAGCGCGGATAAAATCCAATTTAATCATTGCCAACAAATTGAATCACAGAAAACAACTTTTTTCATGAATTTGGAGGGAATTTTTAGAGGCAAAACCATTAACCAAATAGCATAAGCCCCCACGTGAACCCCACCCAAAAGATTCAATCTTTGCCTCATTGACTAGCTTAATTTCAACCATTTATCTCAAAACAAGCTAGAGGTATAGAGAGGCAACAAAAATACATAGAAAAAACACAAACCCAGATGAAAAAACAGTGAGGTTTTGAAGACTAAGAGATGTAGCCGTTGATTTGACACAGAAAAGCCGTGGAAAAGGTACAAAAGGCTAAACTGCAACACTAAACGGCAGATGCTTTAGCACGAGCTTTGGGACTTTCAACCTCAGGGGTTTGTAATCAGCGAAGCCTGGGAGGCATCGTGCAGCTAAGATCTTGAAAAGAATAGATTTTTGAAAGGATTTGTGGTTTGATATAACAGAGCCTTTGAGACTGCGAATGAAGAATTTGTGGAGGGGTTACGATATTATATAGAGGTTCAAGAGCTATAAAACCCTAGTTGTTGTTATTTTTCTGTGTTTGGGTGAAGGCTGGATTGGTTTTTGGTGGTGTTGGTATGGTAATGGGCTGGGCTGAATTTCGAGTGGTCCATTGTGAAAACCCAAGATTAAAATATTTTTTACCCAAGTTGTTAAACCAAGATTAAACTAATATTTTTATTAAAATATCAATATATACCAGATTGAGTTTGAACTGAATAAACAGGTCACGAGTTGGCATAGGAAGGTCAACAATCAATAATTTTAATTTAATTTAAAATAAAATTCAAATTAGATTTTAAATTCAAATCAACTCGCAACTAAATTTAACAATAATTCTCACATATTAAAACTAGTTTTTTAATTATATTTTAAGTGGGCCAACACATTAAAAATAAATAAATAGCATTGTATACAAATAACACATGGAAAATACTTATTCATTTATTTACACTTCTTCAATTGAGTCAGTAGTAGTGCATAGTAACGAGGTTAATTACACCAATTAATTTGATTAAATAGGAGAATAGTCAACACCGAGCTAACAACTCAAAGGATTTTAGAATTTGATCACAGTTTTTGCACTCCTATTTGGCATATGTAAAATTTGAACATGGATTGCTCGAGACAACATCAGAAAGTTGGTGCATAAATTAACAACTTAAGACACTTGAATCTATGGAATTCAAAGACAAATTCAGCAAAATAGCAAAATCTTTTGGACGAGGTGAGCTTAAATTTCGGTATCATATACTACACAAGAAAGTATAATGATTAACCTTAAAAATCTAAAACTCAAAATCATGGATCAGGTTAATTGAAATGCATAAAATATTGATAGATGAAACCAATTAATCTAACTAAATTTTTAATAATTTGGATGAGTTAATCAAATCTAAATCGAGTTCAAACTTCATTTAGTTAATATAAAAAAATATATAATTTTTTTTTATGAATATAAATATTCAAATCAACTTATTTACATTTTAACTAATTTTATAAACTTTAAAATTAATAATTATATAAACTATATAAATTTTTAATCCCAAGATTTATAAATCTCAAACCAATAACCTTTGAGCTCCACTTTTAAGGGTTAAAAATAATAATCATCTTAATAACCCATATGTTGACTCGGTAATCTAAGTAACCCAATTAATAACCCATATGTTGACTCGGTAATCTAACTAACCCAAGCCTGTCTCTGACCTGGCCACCAAGTTTGGTCCGAAAACTATGCAAAGAGAATGCCTAATAATTTGAGATCACAACATGAATACCTTCATCCTGTGATTCTATTCTACGTTTTTCTCAATGTGTAGAACATTGTCCCGAGGACTTTTGTTTTTCTCACTAAATTCTCGCAATTGTACAATCTTATGGATCGTATGTGATTCACGCACCTAAACAAAGGGGAGATTTTTATGAAGAAATGATTAACCTAGTCCAGAAGACTAAAATTGTTGCTGCTACAGGAGTTGTCCCTTAAGCCATTTCAAAACTCGCCCATCATCTCCAGACGACTGTTTAGTCTTTGCTGTCATACTAACATCCATGTCAAGTGGCGGTAGCCAGCCCACTTAGCAGCAACATGAATACCAATGGCTAAAGCTGCGCACAGCAGTGGCACTGGAACCCTACTACTAGTATCCGCTGTCACAACTTCAACTTCTTCCTTTCCTTTGGCGAGCTGCTTTGAATGGTAAGAAATAGCTA